CGTCCGCACGCCTCGCACAGCCTCGAGGTTGTCGCTGTCGGCGTTTGTATCGACTATACAACGCACAGCGCCACGATGCCCAACGTCAAAGCAATTGTATTTGCCACCGCTACGGTGCAAATGGCTACGAGCAGCTCGCTGGACGTGTACCACACAAGTAGGCTCCGCGAGCTTCTTCTGGACACCTTCTGTAAAATTACGCCAAGGCAATCGCGCCAGCGCTCTATGGCTACGACGCTGCTCATAACGTTATTGGTACCACTGGGCGTGCTTGGTGTGGCATCGGGCCTCAATGACGTAACCGTAGCACTCACATGCTGCATGAGACCGCAGCGGTCCTCATCATTGACAAGGGTATCCCTGGTAAGTCAATATCCTGCATTACAGAGATCGGTGGCGAAAGAACGACCTCGGCCACACGATTTTCACCGCCCACAGTCAACAGAACGCTCGCTGGCGACCGCCCCGCCGTGCGGCCAAGTCCTTCGCCGCACCGGCGGATCGAAAAAAATGAAGTTGGGAAACGAAATCGCTCATACTTGCCAGAGTGCTAGACCACACTTTGGGGAGTCCAAAATGCTATGTGGCGTCGTCGTGCGAGCTCTGTAGCGAGAGCAAATGACAGCGGCAAATAATATTTCATATAGTGTGATTTTGCGTTATACCGAAATACTGTATGCTGATACGAGGCCTCATCACGAATCAGTACCACGCGCACGTTGCCTCCCTCGGCCACATGCAACACGCTCTTTAACATGAACAAAAAGAGACGACGTCCTCGGTTTCCGGGACTTCGATGCATTTTCAACCGAAATTGCATGTCGTATTTCGTGAAAACCGACGCTCGGCAGTTCGAGTTTGGTGTGAGTGCCCAAGCAACGACGGCGACCAACAAACTGGTCGGACACCGGGTTGAGACCCATCGCCAACTGTGGCAGCCAGAATTGGGGTCCTTGGAGCTTTAGAACCCCGCGATATCACGTGAAGTAATTAGGCAATTCTGCCACCACCTCGAAAAATGGAAAACGGATTTGCGCGCGATCGCACTACGTGCAGCGTCGGAAACGACATGTACGTCGTTCAAGAAATGTGTGGGAATGTATGCACGGCTGCTACGTGGCGATGGCACGTCTGAGGGCTGCTACTCGTCGTTGTGCTGAATGGTTCTCACACTATTTAAGACGGGTGAATCAAGTCTTGTGATTGGCTAGGAAGAATCAAGAATTGAACCAATAAAAACATCCTTTCCAGATCGAGTTCCAAACGAGCCGGGCTGCGCATCCGCAAGCACAAGGGGTGGTGTGGAAACATCGGGAAGGTCCGGCGCGACGAGCGGCTGCATGAAGAGGCAGAGCGCGCTGCTATTCGCGAGAAGCGCAAGCGGAGCCTCGACGGCCGCGTCGAGGCGCTCAAGAAGACCAAGCCGACGCCGCTGGCCATCGACCTCCTTGCGCCCGACGAGACCGCGTCGCCGCCAGCATCGAAAAGTACACCGACGAAAGCATCGCCCTCGGCGGCGCGCTGAGTCCGGTCCACTTTCAGATAGGTCGACGCTCACAACCCTGCCCTCCAGCTGAGCCAAGTCGACAACGACGCACCGAGGCGCCACGTGCAGCGAACGCCGACACCATGATTGCGGTCGTGGGCCGACTCAAGGCGCTCATGGCTGCCGCCAACGATATGCAGGAAGCTGACGCGCTCGATTTTGCCCGTAACACGACGAACACGAAGCATAAGAAGACGAAGAAAGTCAAGTCTTCGTTGTCTTCCTCCAGTCGCCCCAAGCAGCTTCGACGCGAGCGGGCGAGCGCAAGGCCGTCGAGCAGCGCCGACTCGAGACGCTCCTCCGGTGCTAACGCAAAGCTACTCCATCTCAATATATAAAAACAAACTACAGTCATATCTTTTGGGTTTCCAATTGCGCACGCCAGCATCGGACTGGGTGATTTTGCAATGAATTGATTTGAATAAATTGCATTTTCGAAACCACGCTCTATGCGCGAAGCCGCAACGCTGGGATCATTTCAGTGGCCAAGGACACGTCTGTCTAGAATTATGAAGGCTCAAAGCGCCATGTATTGACTCGCGTTGAATATCTAGATGGATTATGTTGGAATAAAACAGCAATTGTTGGCGAGTTTCAAAACAAATACTTGCAGGCCTTTGATTGCCACGATCGTCGGCACACAGCCTCTCTCGAGCTAGAGAAAGCGTCCCTGAAAATATCTCAGCGATTTGAGAAGGTTGCAAAAGTTTCGATTTCGGGTCGACAAGCCTCACGCCTGCCGTCGCGGTGCATGGCCAAAATGTAAGAAATATTGGAAAATGCTGGGATACTGTGGTCAACGCCCGCCCCTATAGGCTATCATGAAGATCGGAAGAGCTAGGCCCTGTGAAGTATTGGACGTGGGCAGATTTTTAATTTGACCGTGACGATTATTTATGTTGTCCGGATAAAATCCGTTGTCTGGATCGAACGCCATGTTTCTGCGCCTCCAACCGGCAGCTCAGAGCGCATCGACGATAGTCTTGACCGCGTCAGCCTGTTTGCCAGAATGTGCCTGCTCATGACGTTTGGTATCGGCTATCGTCCGGTGCTCGTCATCGCCCAAGAACTTTCTCTGCCCTGTCGGCCTGAGAGAACAAAGCGAATTTACGTAGAGACGATTAACCCCTCAACGCCTTACCGCGATCCGCGGTAGGAAGAAGGGTCCTGTAATTAGGTACCTTGCAGATCCTACAGCACAGCACACCAACTTGGACGCTACAGTCTTCAATGAACCACACCAATGGCCAAGATTTGATGTAGCGTCGCCGTACTAGTACGAGGCAACAGCGCTACCAGCCTTAGTGTTGGTATACGCCGTAAATACCCAAAAATAGCCACACTTAGACGCCAGACGCCAGCGGCGGGGAGAGATGAAGCACAATTCATGATTAAAAATGAAAGCGCTTATACTTGGCTTGGTAATAGAGAGCACTTTGGAGAGTACGAAACGCTATATCTCCTCAATGATCGAGCTCTGCAGCTAGAGCTCTTGACAAAAACATTTTCATACTATTTAATGCCAATATTTCTTTTATAGTGTATAAAACAAAAATAGTGTATTGACATGCTAGCGGCGCCTTAGCGGACTCTAGAACCACCATCGCCAATGTAACATGGTCTCCGAGACCATAGAAAAGAGATAGCGCTCTCGGATTTTGCGAAAATTCAACATTTTTACTCGAATTTATGTCTACAAGTCGGCAAAAAACGATGCTCGGCAGTACGACTTTGCTGTGAGAGCCCAAGCGCCTACCACGTCCCAAACGCCAGTCGCTGGGCCAGTCCATATACATAGCCAACAGTGGCTGCCCGCGTCGGAGTCGGTCGAGTTTTCCAACTGCGCGAAAACACGTTGTGCATCTGGGCGTTTATTTGACCACCTCGAAATATCAACGTCGGAATTCGCATGCAGGTGCTGCGTTCAGCGTCTAAGCCTTCATCTCCATGATATCGGGATGCTATAGAACGACAGGAACCGGTACGGCCTCGAGTTAACGTGTCTGTGCGGTGTCGATCGTATTAGGAATGGTGGCGCCCACACTATTTACAATCTTCTATCATCCGGATATACTGTTATGTTTTCGGATGTCTGTGAGTACCTGGTATCCAAACTTTTCAACGAAGGCCTTATCGTCGCCAAAAGCGAATTCGTTCCCGAAAACAAGTGCAGACAATAGACTATTCATTGAATTTAGGCACTATGACCAAAAAGTTGAGTAGCAGATGAATAGCCTCGTTTGTGGTGCAATTAAAATGTAGCACTCTTGATGCTTTCGGGTCGGCTCAGATGAGGCTAAACCAGAGCGTTCATTCCGCACGAATCCTTTGTCAGACGTCGCCGTGGACTAAACGAGCCGCTAGGCTCGTTACCAAGCATCCGTCAACATACTCTGGAAAAGCGTCGTTTGGTGCGACTTGTCGCATGAGGCACTTGAACTCGTCAAAGTCAGCGCAGCACGTCGATCACGTCGCCCGTTATTCCATCTTCGTGCTCGTGGATCATGCTGCAGAGCGCGTCCTTGTTAGATTCGTCGATGGCTTCTTTCAGCCGCGCCTCGAGAATGCTTTGGCATCCTCTGGAGCTACACTGGCCACTGCCGAGCGCGGGCGTGGCGGGCACAAGCATGTCGAGCTCCTGGCGGAGCGGCGCGGCCTGCGGGAAGTCCACAGCGAGGGCTGGGAGGCTGTTCGCAACCTGAAGGTAGGCAGGAGCGTCGGCCTGGACCAATGGCTGACCTTGGACGCGATCGTATCGAGGGCTTCGAGCTTCTCAAACAGACGCGCGAGCTGGCGCAGGTCTTGTGGTGGAGCAACGGCAAAAGGCTCAGCGCCGTGAAAACGCACAGCCTACGCGGACGTTAAGAGCGAGCTGTCTCGATCGCTTGCTACCTTTAGCGGAGAGCGGATCAGAGGCGACGTTGAGCGAGAGGTTCGCGGCGGGCGGGTTGTTATGCTGTGCTGCCAATGGTCTCGGGCCTGGCTTCCATTTGCAAGCAACAGGACGTCATGCATGAGGTGTTCGAGGTTCCATCCGTCAGGCTCGATACCGCGAAATGACGCGCGCGCTGCGCCGAAATCGTCGCAGCTCGCCGTCGTGTCGCCCATTTCGGACTATGGGCGTCCGGATATTGTCCAGATACTTCAACACGACGCAACGAGTGCGACCAAGGGTGCAATCAAGGTATTCAGTTTATGTACCCTTGGTGCGACTCACCCTCCTTGCACAGGCACTCGAAGAGTTTGTGTTGGATTCGCATCACAACCACATGTCACGTTAGAGACGAATTCCGTACGTCTCGGGGCCCGTGCAGCGAGGGTCGTCTGGGAAGGCCAGTCCCAAGGGGTTGTTGTTGCCAATGCCATGGCCCGTGCACGAGCAGCGCCCCGCGCCACACGCGTTCGACTTGTACGACTGAAGCTGCTCCTCCCTCGTCTTCCACTGCTGGTTCGGTGTCGGACACCTATGACGAAATGTCAACGTATCAACTCGAAATGGCATTGTACCCAAATGGCGACTGCTGCAGGCGCTCCCACGACACGCTTTGGGAGCACAAGGCTTTTTGGGCCGGCGTCAGCGAGCACGAGTTGCACGTATGACAGACGCGGTTGGCTTCCGTCGTGCACGGCGCCGCCTCGTACTCGTCTGTGGTGCACAGGGTGCAGGCGCTGCAAACGCGGTCTCTTTTCGGAGAGCACTTGGTCGACGCAAACGTTTCGCGCTGGCACTGCGTACACCCTATGTAGCGTGTAAATACCCTCGGCAGGGTCGAAAAAGGTGTAGTACGCTGGCAGACAGTGTCGTGGGTCGGCGAGCACGTCGTCTTGGCAAAGTGATCGGTCGCGCAGACCGTACACGGCAGACACGCGCGACTCTGCGTGTCGGAGCAGTGCGCCGAGAGGTACGAGTTGGCCGGACACGGCGAGCAGTCCGGGGTGCCCGCCGCACTCATGAAATACGGCGGCAAGAGCGCGTGCCCCAAGATGTCTGCGATCTGGTTGGTCGCGACAAGGACAGTGGTCGCTGGCGATCGGCCAATAAGACCGGTGGCATCGATCTGCGCCTTGTCAATCGGCGCGACAAAGATGGTGACGAGCGTGCCGTCACTCGGTGCCGGAGGTAGCGCCACCAGATTGCCCATCGACCGCGTGCCTACATCCTCCAACGTCAAACGAAGCAAATTCTTGATTAAGTGACCTGCAACAACATAGCTGGCGCTCGAGAGTGACGCGCAGGCAGTGCGTGCCAAGCTGTCGCAGAGTTGCAGCTGCGACGGCACCACCGAGGAGGGGTTAACGACCTTGGAGAACCGAAGTTGGAGGTACTGGCCATCATATACGAATCGTAGCAGCGACGGAGCCAGCGTGTCGCCGACGAACGCTGTTGCCTAGGATCCCAAAAGCCTCGGGTCGTTTCTACCAAGGATACATACCGGAAACGGCGTCTGAGCCGGCAGCGGGCGGACCACACAGCCGTGAAGTGACGTTGAAGCGCAGTTGAAGGTAGGGTATTGCACAAATCCTGGGGAATATGCGATGTTCGTTGTCAAGATTGATGCTGCGAGGCCTGCTTTTTGAAGCGCGTTGACGTCGCTGGGAGCCAGCTGGATGCACACCTGCGTCATCTGTCAACACGACGTTCGAGCCGGAATGCTACCAGCGTCGGGTCAGGGCTAGGGACCACGGTCGAAGACTCGCTCAGGGTGTAACGTCCTGTGGAGGCTGCAAGGCTCAGTGTCGCCACGTTGGCAGTGGGCGCGAGCACAGGGCTCGAGTACTGTAGCGTTAAAGAGCGGGCCGTCATGTCCATTCGTGCGCCGACCAGCGTAGGTACTATCAGCGGGTTGACACCGGTGTCTCCCTCGGCAGCCTTTTCTACCTTGTGCCGACGCCTGCAGATGCACCTAGCCCTGTGTGAGACGTTGGCGC